CTCGATCATTTACCTCACAGTCGTCGATGACGACCTCAAAGCCCAGAACGGCAGCCACCGCCGGTGTTGATTCCCCGACGCTGTAAAGACACGGACTAAGTATGTTTTACACGGGCCAGGTGTCGCAAATGGCAACTGATCACGATTAATTGACTTTTGTACATGAAATGTTCCTTTTGTTAGAGGTTCGTTATTTCCGCACAGACGGATCCATCAGGGCACTTGGACTTAGTCCTTCCTGTCGTCAGATAAGAAATCAGATTGGAGCAAAATCGACCACATGTTGATCAGCCAAAAGTAGCGTAACGCTTTGCTCGATGTTCGGGTAAGAGGCGGAGCATGCATCGGGTCGAATCACCACCTCGTCGTCACTGATCTGAGGCCAAGCTGTTAGAAGACGAATGACGTAACAGCAGCTTGCATCCCTGATGCGAAAAAGCTAAAATCAGCGGAAGGGCATCGTTCCAACACGAATTGTCTCGAAACTTCATCCATCATGTCAAGGGAGGCGAGAGCCAACAGGACATCGATCACCAGTGCAATAAATTGCGCAAGTGTTTCATCGATGCAGCCAAGCAAATGATCGGACTGAGAGAAAAGCTGAAGGAAAAGAGGGCTGTGGGTGTTCGAAGAAACCCTAAGCCTATGGATACAAAGAAACGCAGCAAAGGCCCTATGTTGCAGCTGCGAGCCGCTGGTTCAGTAAGAGTCGATCAACGCTTTGTCAAGGCGTTGAACAACAACCACAGCCGAGACAAGCAAGCGTGGCTAAATTCAGAATCCGGAAAATATGCATCTGTGGTTACCACAAGTAACTGACGCTCTGTCTATCGAAGTTTGCAAAACATATCTGGAAGAGTACCACGGGGCTACAGCGCCAAAGGCATCCGCTACCTCAGTGATGCAGTACTCTAAACTATAGTTAAAGTAGGCCTCTGGCTTGATCCCGCATAGATAAAAGTGATGAGGAACTGAATGTATCCCCTGGAAGCAGTACCAGAAGAATGGATGCTATGAACAGTACCTGAACAGGAGGATTGTGGTGGCATGGTCCATCTGCAAGAAACTTTTGAACGTTTTAACTCAAGGAACAATGGCACTCGCCACGAACGTATTGCGCTACTGTCAGACTAGGTTAATTCTGCTGACTGGAAACGGTTGCACTCACAAGAGCACAGGAACATGGACTGGAAAGCATAAAACGCATACAACAATTTTGGCTGAAGCTCAAGTGGTACGATCACATAAAAGACGACCAAGTCTTGGCACCAGTCGATCTCACCGACGTATTGTAAGTGCTGTGAGACAGTAGGTTGTTTGGTTCGATCATGTTCAACGAAGTAATGAAGCCTCATTGAAAACCGAAACATGGACGGCCAGAGATCAGTGGCCAGCACATCACATGACAGAGGAAGCCAAACGGAAATCTATTGTCGATGAGCAATCTTTCCCTCGCCGAGGCAATTATCAGCTCCTAATAGAAAATTGCAATGAGTTGCGATGAGTGAGCATAACAAGCCTAAAGCAGTCTCCAGGTTTCTAAAGATGCTGCCGATAATGATGAGAAGGCACAACCCATCAACGGACTAAAAGATACGTGCAGCTTTTATGGCTTTGACGTATTGTGATTCGCATGACTCATTCGTTACTGCGGTAGAGTGAAGTAAACCAGCTACATCTGGTTAAACCTTACAGGTCGTCTTTGGGTACCCATCGGTTAAGGCATTTTCATTGGCACCCTAATCACAGATGTCACTTGCAGTAAAAAATTTCGTACAGGAACGGTGCGTGGTGCTATGCTGTTTTGCGACACCATTTGCATCATTGTGCAGTAGATGCTCAGATGTCTTTGAACCTCATCGAACTTAAAATGGTTCTTTAACTTCTAGCCACGATTTTGTTGTGTTATCTCATGCAAAAATTCGCTAAACTCTCTTTCTATGACAGCAATATAATTAATTTTGAAAGATGAAAATTGAATCTTCTCCTTCCATGGCCGTTTCTTCTTTCGGATCGCGGAGGCAGACGCGTCAGACAACGCTTCCAGCGTTCCCGATCCTGCGCCAGAGACTGAGCTTCGGCAAAAGACAAATGCAGTCTGGAACAGATTCCTTCCATATGTTTGCACCAGG